TATATATAAAATATAATATAATATAGAATACATATAATATATTAATTATATAATACATGCATATTTAACAAAAATTTATATTTATTTAATAATGATTAATTTATTTGGAAGTAAACATCTATAAGTGAGTAATTATTTACAGGAAATTCATTTCTCGCAAAGTCGTCCGCGCACATTTGCTTTGCGAAATTACGCGATTCGCGTCTGTCGAGACGTCTCGCTCATATTTTCTGTTCTTCTCGTTTTTTGCTTGACTCTCGACTTTGTCTATATCGAGCATTCGTTTTTTCACTGTCATTTTACAACTGTCGATCCGCCCCGGAATTTCGAATAAACGCGGCAACACGCACGAAAGAATAAACGGCAAATAAAGTACGTAAAGGAGATGCGAAACCGTGCACCAAGCTGAGCAAGTTATCATGCAAAATCGAAGAACAAAGAACGATATCGATACACGCGAATCACGGTGTTTGTCAACGGGAACGATATTGCGTTTTTCTCCCGGAACGCGCGGAAACGTATGCACCTTCGCAGCGAGTATTTTCAGCGTTGCTCTTCGTCCGGAAAGCGACACGTGCCGCTTTTTTCTCTCGAAAATATACAGGAAAAACTTGTACGAAATTTGACTTGTATTGAAGAACAGAAAAAAATTACAAAGATGACTGCTACGAACGTATCTCGTAACGATTACAACGCGATGTGATTTGTCAAAGTAAATACTAATAAATAATATATCGCATCGCGACAAGTTGCCAGAATTTGTCCTGATTTTTTAAGACTTTTGGGGATTTTTAAGATTAAGATTTTTGAGAATTTTTTCTAGGTTCTGTAGTTTTCCGATGCTGGCTTATTTACCTGTTCGATGATGTATGGTAACGTATGATGATGTACGATGACGTATAGTAAATACAAAAAAAATATATTGGCACACTTAGCTTTTTTCTTTGCGATATCTTTGCGAAAACGGACGATAATATTAACAAAATTTGCTTCCAGAAATAGTTATTAGATCTGCTACTGTGCAAAAAAAAAAAATGGCGCACGTAGTTTTTTTTTACGATATCTTTACGAGAACGAACGATATATGTATTAACAAAGTATGTATTTGAAAGTTTCTTTTTTCAGAAATAGTTATTGAATTCTACTACTGTGAACATTACGTTTTGTACGTAGTAATCTTATATTATAGTACAATTATTTATAGTCAATTGAAACAGTCAATATAATCAATCAGGATTATAGTCAATATAATCA